GTATATTCTAGTCTCACCTGTGTCACTGATTCATTAGCAATGTTGTCCGCTGATGGATTGTCATGTTTCTTGCGTGCGCGTGCAGAGATACGTAAACTTTGCTCGACCTATCGTGCGCAGTATCATTTTCATTTCTTTCTGTTTTTTCTACCTTCTGCATTGCTTCTAGCAAGCAATGTTTTTATGCGTGTATGTATATGATATACATACATATATGCAATATTAATGACATTGAACGTTTACATGTTTTTAATATTGGAATCGTCAGGATCGTTAAATGGGCCAATTCATAATTTTTCATAGCAATATCATAAACCTAAAGTCGTTAATTTTGATGTATTCGAGTAGTTCTTCATAAGCTTGTTTATAGCTTGTTTAAAGCGATAAAAACTTGTTTTTCTTATATAATTATATTATTTCATCCTGCGTTTTAATTTCTTTGCTATAAGTCTTATAGGATAATGCATTAATATATTGGTCATTGAGTATATGGTTCTTGTGTGAATTGTCCAATTTTATCTTATCTCTTTTCCCTTTAGTTTTTGGATATAATTGCGCGATTATTTTTGTTCACACACTAGCTATGTTTAAGAGCCGTTAGGGCAATTTGTAGTTTGTTCGTTTGCACCTATTTGCACAGTTTTATGGCTTCCATTCACCTTGCTTCGCCCGGACAACAACTGTTCTTTTCACTATAACGGTTATGTATGTTGTATAGTCGAAAGTTGTAGGAGCACCTTCTTTAATGTGGCTACACAAACATGTTCCTTGAAATATTCCTAAAAAAAAAAGAGAGAAAGAAAATGATATAAATATATATACATCCAAATATATAGAGGCAAGATTTTCCTCGCGATATCAAAGCTAAAGAGTTTTCTAAAAATTTCATTATTCCCATTTATCTAGCAGTCGGAGCAATATTGTTCGACGAGCCAAAAAATATTGCTCGAAAAGAGTAATAAAAACCAATTAGAGCAAATTGCCAACTCGCGCAATTAAAGGGTTGAGCGTTTAACTTTGCTACGTTGATTCGACGGGATTAATTTATGAACGTTTTACGTTCCGTACTATGTTGCTTATTTTACCGCTGTGAGGAAAAAAATAGTAGGTACGTAACAACATATTGTAAGAAAATATTTTACTTATTAGATTGTACCAACAAATTTTACTAGCTCTGATACACTTTCTGCTCTATTACATAAGTAAAATAGTATTTAAGCATTCCATTATTTTTCTAACAATATAGTATTCACTAATAAGTTTGACCATCTACTGATATTTACTGCAAATTGAATGAATGTTTTCCACTGCTTCCATTTTCCAGTTATTTTATTACAAATTTGTCGTTCATTTGCGTCACCTTTTAAAGTATCTAGTTTATGCTTTAAAATCTTTTGAAAGATGATAATGATACAGTTAGAACGTTAGCAAATTCATAGTTGTATTACTTCCTTTTTCGGACATAAATTTGCATCAGACGAATAGGAGACCTTGATGAAAGTAACACGAAACCCGATGTTGTGGCTTAATATTCGACATTGCGGGAGACACTTCTAACTCTTTCCACGGTGCAATTTTCGTTTGAACAACTGCGTGCCGGGTAAAATAATTAGAGGATCGTGTTTCCAATCGATTCAGCAACGCTAAACAAGCATTGACGATGAAAGAGGTACCACGTATACATGATACAAAGTAATTACAAGTTGATGGATTATAAATATAAACTTCGGAGGACGTTCAAGATAATATTATGATAAAAATATTTTATGATATTTCTTTGTTTTTTTCTTTTTCTTATAGATATTTATATCTATGTGTAATCTGATGTTTGGCTCAATTTTTTAGATCACCTCCTTAATTTGAGCAGCGCGCGTTTCTTTGGAATCTTGCAGTGTGCTACTTTGCGAGCAGTTCAAATAAGTACAAGGACCAATTCTCGATTATCAACGCTGTGCAAACTGAAATTTATCTTTGAAAAAAGGAGATTTTCGAAAACAAATTTTCAATTGCAAATCTTATCGCTATGTAGAGTAAATATATGAATGGATAAGATTCAGCCAGTACCAAATACGTCTAAGCGATTCAGAAGAACAAAACCATTTTCATAATATACTACTCAAATATATATTGTACATAATTAACCCTGAAATATTATACATACAGAGAATCTTTGTTATATTACACTGAGAAATTGAATATTTCAGTTTAGATTGTTGAACAATATAATTTTATTAACCTATTAAGGGCCAAGCTGCGAAACAATGCATAAAAGTTGTGTAACCATAGTATTACTAAAAATTATAAATAAGATAGTCAAAATATAGTTTTGTTAAAATACAAGATATTATACCGTTATTAGAATAACAGATGTTTACAGAATCCCACTGTATAAATTAAAGGCCACAATAAAATTTCATTATATAAGAAAGTGTGATTTATCATAATGCTATAAGTATTTCAATTTCTTTAAACTTTATAAATGGATAGATCTAAATGAAGAAACGGTGTTAATTATTTAATTAATATTACATTATATTACGCTAAATAATATTAAACAAATCCTTGGAATTCCTTTTTATAACCGCAATGTTAAAAAATTCAATTCAATGATGTAAATTGGTTGGAAAAGAGATTGCATATGAAATGTAGTCTTAATGCACCACTGGTCTTTAATGGGTTAATGTAATATCCATTTCAAACGAACTGAAACCTGCTTTTGAATAATCTTGCTCTGTCCATGTTAGGGGATTATCAAAAAGTACGAATAACGAAGAGCTACCACCTCTTAGAAGTGATTAAAATAAAAATAAAAGAGACATAGTATCTCATAATTAAGTAAGAAGTATACAAATATTTTGGCCGAAAATACGATTTGTTTCGCACAATTAGGCGAATATTTGGAACAAGGTATATAATCCGGAAAATATGATTGAAATTACTGAAGCATAAACGCCGTTTGAAAACGAGTTCGAGTACGGCGGAAAAGGCTGGTGTACGCCAATCAAGATTATTTCGAAATAGAAGGCTTTAATTACGCAGGGCCTTATCGACGATACATCGAAGTGAACATAAATCGAACTTATTATCTCTAGTCGGCGTGAGCCAAAAAAAGAAGCAACGCTAGTGGTGTTACATTGCGTCTACGAGGCAGCGAAAGCTCTTTCACGCCACTACATAGCACCTTTTATCATGATTTATCGCGGACGCAATCGCTAATCGCTATTTTTACCGTACACTGCGATACCAACTCGACTGACACGCTCGTCTTCGTTAACGAGCTATAATTTTCATTGATAAATAAAAGCAGCAATGTCAACCGGTCGACTAGCCTATCGCGTTTTGACCATTTTCCTTCGCGCAAATTGCAAAGCATAACACTGTTTTCCAATGCGAAACAAACAGATACCGTCGATCATTTGCGATGCAGATTGTTCGAAAAAGAAACTATTATCTCTGCTTCTTTGCCGTATCAGTAGATGACCTCCAATTGCTTTCATCGCGAAATCGTAATGATGTAATGGTTCTTCCTAAATACGTATTATTCGTTTCATTTTCGAACGGATAATGTATGTATAAAAAACCATGAAATTGTCGATAAACAATCATGAAATCTGCGTATAAACGAACGAACATTTGCCATCGTATCAATGAGAATTGGAACGCTGGTAAATTAAACCTGGTGGTTCTATGAAATGAAACATTATGCCAGCCGCTTTTATAAAAATAATCACGGAACAATCAAACACAGTCACCGGAAAATAACAGGGTCATCATATGCAATGTTTCGAAATCGAAGCATAATGTACATTATGATTCATTGTTCTATTGGTCTCTTTTAAATGAAAACAACTATTCGTTCAGAAATCGCAGCGGGAGAATTGTATGCAGAGGTCAAACTGTCACGTACGAATCGTAGAGACAATAGCGATGGAACATTGTATTCTCTTAGCGAGTTCGTCATGCAAACTACTGTCGAATTATCTAAGTCTATTTTTTACGTTATTAAGCGTATTGTTATCGCATAAAGGAACCCCGACTGGGAGTTGGAAAAGAGACTCTGAAGACGGCCTGTTGATCATTCTTGGACAAAGTACAGATCGCATAATGTGAAGGAAAAGTGTTGAAATAGTTTGGACCTTTCGTCTCTCGCTTTCTTCTTATCGGATGAGTAAATTTCTTTTCTACCTGAAAAATAAAAGAAAATGAGACAAAACGAGAAAGTACCTAGTGGACCTTTATTGCTTGCAGACATGAATCACTAATATTTACCATTTGCTCGTTTACTCTTACCGTTTACTCATTTATTGCTCATTCGCTTGTTTCATAATAACTCACATCCCAATGTAGTTTGTACGCTGCGTTAGAATCACGAAACGAAGACAATTGGTGGCTCGAACTGAAACATCAACGACGCAGGTATAAATCGCACAGAAAGACACATACAAAGAAGAAAATAAAGAAAAAGAAACTCGATGCGTAACGAATGCAAATTTTCTACGCTTGTTATTGTTCCTTACTATAAGCGATTTTAGGCAAAATGTGAAATTATTTTTAGCAGAAATAGCATTTGCTTCACCCATATCAGCTGATCATATTATTATTAACAAGTTGAATGTCACGCCAGTTTTACAAGGTTTGACCTTGATGCCACAATGAATTTTTTATTATGCGATACATATAATGTTGAAATTACCTACATTATAGCATAATCGTCATTAATGAATTTATCTCACTGAGGTTGCCGTATTTTTTGCGCTTATCAATTATCTCATATTGTCTCTTCGCATTGCTAAATAATTCTAAATAGCGCTAAAAATATATAAATAATTCTAAATATATAGAAATTATTCTAAATAACAATGCTAAATAGTTCTCTGTTGTTACGTCCCGGGACTTACCATAATCCATCCCTCGGTCATACCTATTCGAACCCCCGATAATTCTAAAGAAACTTGACTTAAAGATTTAGCATTGCCTACTTTAATGTCAGGACCCTTAATTGCCATCATATATCTTTCAAGTCGAAATGTTTCTTAGGGCTATTATTCACTAAGGTAAAAGCGAGGCTTTCCATGTTCGACAGCCACTGGAGGAAAACGCACATAATAGATTTATATTTCATGTATAAATAAAATTATTTTTATATGTTTTATACTGCGTTAATTTCGTCACACCATTGTAGTAACGATGATAATAATACAAAATTTATAACTATTGACATTTGTACAAATTATGTATTTCTACTAATCTTGGTGCGTCGGTCACTGGTGACTCCCACGGCAAAGTTAAGTGCCGGTCACTAATGACCCCCATGGCATTCAACTTGTTAATTTACAGATATGATAATGCTCGAGGAATTTCTAGTAGGATACGCTACTTTAATTCCTGCTTCGCTTTATCTGCTGGAACTACGCTACTGAAAATAACAGATTTATAGAGAAAATGACATAGTTGTACGCATGATTATAGGTGATATAATCACCTCGTTTGATTGGGTAATTACTTAATTCGCGCATTTAACAAATTATTTCCTATCTTCATATTAGAAATCAAACAACGATAAAAAGAAGTTTTCTTTAAATTAATGAAAAAGTAACATCATGCTTTTCCCTCCTTACGTATTTGGTCACTGTAATTGCATCGCGCAAATCTGGTTCCCGAACCGTGGTAATGTCGCACGTCTCGAAAGAAAAAGACGTTCACGGAGGCATACTTGTTATTTACTCGTCCATCTTGTGCATTATCAAAGCACAAAGTGCATTGTTATTGTCACGGAGAAAGTAGCCGCGATGTAAACCGCTTAAACCGGTCCCTCTTGTTCCTGAACGAGTTCACGCTCCAACCTGAGCTTCTGGACGGTGCAGAACAGCTGTAAGCTGCGCAACGCTTAGCAGGAAATGCTTACCAGATCTTCGCTTACCAATCTTGTCCGATCGTAACGCGATACGTGTATTCATCTGTATTTATTTTATATACTTTATGTACATCTTTTCTATTCTTTTCTTTTCTTTTCTGTCTAATTAGAAGCCAATTTGAGAGCCAAATTTTTCTCACTCTATTAGTAAAGCACAATCCTTCGCTAATTAAATGTAAGAAATCGTTACCTGGTAGTAAATGAATTATCAGGCTTGGTACTCGCGTTACTAGATACCTTGTTATCTGCTCCCGGGAGCTACGAGTAAGGCGATTTGAAATGTAAACGCCACGGTAGGATGTTGATTCGGTGTCAAACAATTAGCGGAGAGCGAGATATGCATCGCTATTCCGGCAGACGACGACGACGACTAATTATGAAAAGCCGTGGGAATAAAAACCAGACCCTTTTTAATGCTCTATTACCAACGCTTTGACCTGAGATGAATCTGAAATATCCGCCAGATTGCTCATATTTTCTATGATATTCTTCCAACTGCTCGTTTCCAATGATAGAATGCTAATTTATTTCTACACGCTGCTTCACCTTAAAGATTAGTTAAACGTCACTTTTTTCTCGTCTCTTTAAGCGAGCTTTGAACAATTGGAAAAATGTAGTTTTTGTTATCGAGAACATGCAAAACGCTAGACATCGTGCACAAGACGCACGAGATCCGCAGGTTAATTTGAGCGTATAAAATTTCTTCGTCATAAACACAAAAGCACATGGTTCGGAGGTTCGGTGTGACGTGCCAGCTTTTGAAAAATTCTCTGAATCGGGAATGCACGCATCGATGGTTTTCTTTTTCAAATTGCTGGTTGCGCCGTGGGGAAATCCTTTTGGACTTTTTCGTCGTCTCGCAACATACAGGGATCGTTCGACCTCTCCCGGGTGATTGTCCTTACCACAGATTCTTTCTTATCCGACGTGTTTTCTCCCTTCCTTCTCTTGACTAGAGGCTGGTCGCCGCTGTTGTCGTCGTCGTTTCCTCTGATCGTGCCCTTACGTTCTTCGGCTACGGGAGAAGGACAGAGAGAAAGAACCGATGGGTCGGGTCAGGAAAAGAGTGTGTCGACATGTGGCGAGATTATTATCACATACGTAACACCATACCGTAATACTTAATTATCTTGTCCAGCGTCGCGACCGTTTAATTTATCTCCGCAAAAAATGTTTATCCTCCTGTCGAGCAATTAGTGACATATTCAATGATACACATTATCCGGCGCGCATAAATGAAAAATGATCCACTCGACCGTGCATGATGATGATGATACACAGCTCGCTTCTGAAACGAACGTGTATCCTACACCGTTCTCGCCTATCCGCTTCGTGTTCGGTTGCATTGCTCAAAGTAATCTTCCACTGTTGCTTAAATGAAGCGAACAGTATGTATTTTGAGACACTCTTAAAATCGTATGTCTATCGAGCTTTTGCTAACAATATCCTTTCGTTTGAATACAGGACATTTTTTGCCTGCACTTAAAATACGAGGATCTCTTAAAATACATCTGAAAATAAAATCCGAGGTGTCGGATAATTTTGCCGTATAATTTAAGTGCTATTCGTTAAGAAAAAATTAAATCGCAAACTGTTAAATTGCTTAAATTCAGTTCTAATATTTAAGAGACATCAAGGTTCTCCAGACGAATATATCTGAACGATATAATCAAAGTAAACGATCGATTAATTATTTTGAGCGGCCTATAATCAACCGCGGCGCCTCGAAAGGTCGCTGTAACGCACACAATCGGGTCACATTCTGTCTACGAGCCAGCAATTAAAGATCTGCTAGCTCTAGACCATTACAAAACGGGCACGATGTATTCGTTGTATTTGTGTGTCTGATGCATCATTTAGTTATAAATTCATCTAGACCGTTATGGCAAGGCAAACCGTTCGTCTCGTTCACGGGACATGGAAGCACGATGGGTGAATGGAATCTGAAAATACACGACGCTCTTAAAAGGAGAACATTTATTTATAATTGATTCGGTTAAAAACGTGCTACACACCGCATTGACTTTGTAGACCGTGCACACGATCGCCGGTAATCTTTTCTTTTCTCCTACTCTCTTCTCCTCTCTTTCTCTTTCTCTCTCTCTCTTCTCTTTCTATGAATAGCGACGTCGTTCGAATTTGTCGTTACGCGTCACATTGTACGACGGACATTAATTACGTTAGGGTAAACTCGTCGTGTTGAAAATCAACCGAGCGTATCCCACATATTGCGATATCGGAGCGGACTGATTAGCAGGCCACTCTGTGTATTGGCTTTTCCCCATCCTCCTTCATCTCACCCTTCTTCGGTTCTACTCTCATCCTCCATTGGTGAAATCGTTGAAATCGTTGCCAATCGATAATTAACAGCCACTTATGGATTCAGAGTGAGGTCAGTGTCACGTCGAGCTTGCCGAGTTCGTTACGTAAGAACAGTCTTTTCACACGACAACACAATTATACATACAATGGGCGCTTGTAAATATATATGTGGCTTTCTATGCATAGTGTACGGTTACAATAAAACAAGTTCATTGGTCGCAATGATTTCATGATAATCTCATTACATATTTACAACGATGATCAAGCGAAATTTCTAATTAGAAATAGACTTATTTCGTATAACTTTTCTTTCCTTACAATGGTAGAGAGCATCGAGGTTTATCGATTAACTACATATTCATTGAAAAAAGGATGTATTACGTGCACGTACACATATCGAGCATTGATTAGGAGTGTGTTGATTATCTTCATACGTAATCAACAATTATTCTTGCACTCGAGATACACAAACGATACGTCATCGGATTGAGGATGCTCTTTATGTTTAATTTACTACATCGTACAATATAGTACGTATGTAGTTAACCTGTGAGTTATTTGATCTTATTTCCAAGTTACAGCTCATTTTTGTGCTCCAATAATCCTTCGACCGGAGCCAGTTACTGTAACTGGCTATTATAAGGATCATTTACAAATAATACTTGACACATCACCAGTGGCCTTAATGTGACTCTGTGAAACTGTGAACGTTGATTTATAGCGAATCACTTGTCGTACGCTGTTACACGCGCTGATGATCCCTCGAAAAAATAATTTGGAGATGGAAACAGGTTTGAGCGAGGAACATGTATTTGTTCGCTGATCAAAGTAGTTGAAGAATCACTTACTCACATGACTTAAACCTTTATGTAAAACTCTCAGAGTATTCGTTCCTTGGTATGTTCCAAAAATATTCCAGTTGTCCAATACAGTACAAATTAATTTACTCGGTTCGGAATAGTCATGCGTATCTTTCGCAAAACTTTGAGTCCAATTTTCAAACAAGAAATCATCCGTTGCGCCATAATATTCAATTCTTTAATGATCGATGTGACGAAAGAAACCACGACTCTGTAAATAAATCAAAAAGCCTTTAGGGCGAGAAAAAAAGATTTTAATAGGGAGAGTGAGAGAGAGAGAGAGAGAGATTCGGTAGCTGAATGAGCTAAATCCGTTGCACGGGCATATAATTTTGACTTGGGTAGATATCGTTGGCATTCGGCAGATTACCAAGAGCTCTCTTAGTGTCGTTAGCCGTAGCGAGAGTGAGGTCAGCAATGCCACGCCACTCAATAAATCAGCTCGGCTGCCGGTGCCAACGGAGATGCCTGAATTCTGCCACGTGATCCGTCAACAGAGAGTTCAACCGGTAATGCTCGGGCCACCCCTCTTCTCACGGATATATTCACTACTGGTGAAAATCGACGGGCGAATTTCGACGATGCGCGCACGACAGACAGATATCAACCGACTTCAATCGAGCGAAACTGACTCGCGACCTAATTTTTCTTTTCTTTTTTTACCTCCAAACATTTCTCTCTTTCTTGTTTTTTGTTACCTGTTCGTACAATCTGTTTTTCTTTTTTCTTTTTTTTTTCCGCGTTTATAATTGCTCAGCGATACCGTCGCGTCGTTACCTTAACACTGCGCGAAACAATTGTTTCGCGTATGTGTGCATCCATGGGCAGAGTGGGGTTGCCGACGAATTTCATTCACTCTACGTAACTTCTTCTTTTTCTTCGCTTTATTTTTTGCTTTTCCCCTTCTCTATATATCTAGAACGTTGTTGCTCATGATATACACGCCTCGCTCGTTTTAATCGAATGAACGTTGCATATCGCGCAGGGTAAACAGGGATCTTTGATCGAATTACGGCTACGAAAATCGATATGCGATTTATGGTTGAACCGGTACACAGATTGATTTTAAATGTGCTCGCTGGCAGAAAGATGGCGTAAAGGGATACGTGAAATTTCATTGGATCGCGGATGTGCTTCAGACTATTTTACGTCGCTCGATTTACGGTAATTAATGAAACACTCGAAGGCAATATGTAATTCACTCGATTAGCGACGAAATAATTTCTATCATATACTGTATCACAGGATACACCACAACCCGGTATCAGTCGTCACGTAACGAGGCGGAATATTTTAATAATAAACAGGAAAATACTCGGCCATGTATTGCGTATCCCAGTGTGTAGGTGTTTCGCATGTCTGTGCCGCTTTTTGGTAGATTTCAACATCAATACGAGATTTCGGACGGTAATGCTCTTAATTAAATAAAACGCTGCCCGGCACAGCGTGAAGATTTGCATTTACATTTTTATCTCGTTCGATTAGCTTGGTTCATTTTCAGATACATGTCGGATAGATTAATTTCGAAGCAGTTTAAATTGCTCGTTAACCCGCGTAAAATTTACTATTTATGTAGTGGCAATCCTGCAAACACGAGACACTGTACGTATCTTTTGAGGTTATTTTTTAATTGTTTCCAGTTCCAATTATTACATGTATTACCTAATAAACTTCTCCTTTGTATTTCATAAATCTCTTATGTTTAGTATAATATTTGTACCAGCTATCTTTTATGTATAAATACTTTCTTGGAGCACAAACAGTACGAAGAAAAAAGCAAAAAGATGTTGAACATAAAGGGTTCGTGTGCGCTCGCGAATCGATACGGGAACGACAAAAGGGATGTGTATCGATGATGGACGAAACACAGTCGTGCACCTGCACAGCGAGTTGACCCAGTTCTTCTCGTTATAATTTGAACACGAAGGAAGGTGAACGCTTTACTTTCAGATCTCTCGCTGTGTCTCGAATTAATCGGTTTTGTTGATCACGCTGCAATTGAAAAAAACCTCAACTTGAAACGTAATCAATATCTGCAATTTCATACTTTTAGAAAAGGAAAGAAAAACATATGATTGAGTGGACGTGATTATATAGTTGTTCGACGTATAACTTGTCCCACATATTTGTTGAATCGCGATAAGTTTATCGAATGAAATTTTGAAAAAGATACGGAAGCGAGAAAGAGAGAAACGATTAAATACGCGAAGAGGTCCGAAACGCAAAAAGTACGAATGAAAAGAAGCGGAAGTGCTTCGTAAAAGCAATCATCCGTTTCTCTATTAACGTATTGGTATTGGGGAAAGAAAGTTAAGGCGATCTTAAATCCGCAACTGCTTTATCATGGTAAATTTTTCGATTTGCTTTTTCTTCTTTTTTCTTTATGTCTAGCTAAACTGTAATTATTTTCACGCGGAAGCTATCATAGATGGTATTATCCGTAATAAACATTGCACATCGGAATAATGCTGGCATTTATTCTCAAATTATCTGAATTACGCGTACCTTCGAAAACTGCGCGTGGAACGTGTCCGTCGAACAAAAATGATGGAAATTATGTAAATCGCGAGAAATATTTGCGTCTGAAAATAATCTTGCAACGTGGCCGAATGATGGCCGCTTTACCGCTGTATTTACACCACTATAAATCTTTTTACTGCCACTAGTTTCTTCTCCCTTTTTTTTCTTTCTTTTTCTCTTTCTACTCGACACCATCAACACCGTTCTCTTTCTGTTCTGTTTTGTTTTCGTAGAAGTAAATTCATTTTATTGGTATGGTAACAACTAGACAAAACATAGACACCCACACTAAACACCGACTGCACTTTTTTGACTCCGCATTCCGTTCGACAGTCTCACTTACTGGTATTAGAACATGTACGTATATCATCCACGATAAGAATCTCACCTAACGAGAATTAATCATGTTCTTATTCCTTGATACCGTCACATTCACAAATCTCTATATTGTGAACATGCGCAATGTAATCTTTTAATATCGTAAGAAATACTTAATAGAAATTGTTAAAGATACAAAATTTTGCTTATAACTTTTCCTACCTTTTCATAGAATTTGTTAAAATATTAATAAATAATTTTGTTCTTATTATACATTTCTACAACGTTCTTTTACAACATAATTGTATGGTGGTCGACTAGAAATGATAGTTTTTATCTGGTGACAAATATTTAAAAAAAAAATTGTTTCGACAGGATTAACAAATTAACGCGAAAAGAAGACGCGAAGACGGTAACTGAGAATATAAACAATGCCGTGCCATGATACATGTTTACTTTCGGATAATTTTTGGACGACGGCCAACATCGTTTCACGCTCAGCACGTCAATTTGGTACTGGCAAGCAGCCGAAATTTTCGTCAAACAGATGTCCGAATGACTGTTATTATCCGCTTGTTACAAACGAGAGCGGAGCAGAATACTTAATCTCACGGCGCTAGTGATGCCCGCCAAAAAAGAAACATTGTTGTCAAACGTAAAGGCCAACTAGTGATATATTTGATTGAATTGAAGTCGTGTTTCCCGCGTTGACATTTCATTGAAATACTCAGCAAATAACTTATCTCATAAAAACTTGAATATGCATATTTACAAAAAAATTGACTTTCAAATCACATGTTTTGAATATTTTATATTTTAGATCACTGCCACTGCTTTGATTGAAATGGAAAACATTATTCTATTTATGAATTTTCAATGACAGTGTGAGAATTTACATGTCATCAATTTTTTCTAATACATGCGCAACAAAATACTTACATTATTCCATAGTTCGCAATAGTAAACATATTTTTTAAGCTTTTAAGAACGTATCTCAAATGTACTTAATTCTCATTTTACGTAAATTTCCTTTAACTCGAACCTACTTCAACTACATACTTTGCATGAATGCAGACATATTTGTTTGACTAGACGCTTCACTTTTGTTTTCCTAACAATAGTCAAACTTCAGATAGTTGTGTGCATCGGCATTCAAGCTACTTTACTCCTAAAATAAAAATATATATAAATAAAGTAGTATAATAATAAGATAATTAGATATTTCTTTGATAATTTCGCAAAATAAGACGACCATAAGTTTAATTTATTCACAAAAAAAATGTTTTTATGTCTTTTTCTATCTGTCATTTATCAGATATACCGCATGGATGAATCAAAATGACATAGAGATTGAGATAACGCGTAGAAGGCAATTCATTTAAAATCATCCATTCGTTGAAATTGCATGTGCATATGAGTCTCGCACATTAACGTCGCGACCGAGTATATGCGAATTGTGAGTAGTAGCCAGTAGCTGAATTAGAGTCCGATCGTGTCAACACCGAACGATAGACGTGGCAACGTTGTACGAACGAGTTTAGTAGCCGGCTAGCCAAAGCACGGAATAGCCGACCGGTGGAACGTCCGTACGTCCGGGAACGACCTTCCTTTACCCATCCCGTGTCGAGGAACCTTGCCTCCCGGACTGCCAAACACTGGTTTACCTCCTTTAAACTAAGAGAACTCGTTATCTAAATACGTATTTACTCTTGTTATGGTTTTCGAATTTTTATATTTCTGTCTCAGTCTCGTTTCAACAAACGAAAAGATTTTTAATGTTATAAAAAGAACTTTATGACAAAATTGGATCTAGAAATCACGCATACTAACAGTGTGTCTTTCATATTTTCTGCAAATTTCAAAAATAGGTTAACAATAAGAAGAACTATATATATTTACATAAAGTTCTTAAAAAGTTTTCGATCAAAGATTTTTTCTTACCATATAATTTATATTATGTCTTTTAAACCGAATCGTTACAAAATAATCATTAATAATAATCATTTATTACAGAATTATTAAATACTTATATAATTTTTCATTGCCATGGATATGATGTATACATACTTATTTTAAAACGTAAATTATCTCACAATAGAGGGATACAAATTGAAATTTCTTTTTCTCCAATTAATGTTCCAATTAGTTCTAGATATT